AACACAACATTATCGCCTTTTTAGGTCAGTAGAAAGAACGCACCTGACAAGAGTACCTTGACATCGGATGTCTTTGCGATGTGCTTACAAAGAAGATAGTGGGCGATACCACAACGTACGATAAGTGGGTCGAACGTCTCCAAAGCGTAGATTACTTCTGGAACATGCATCAGTTCACGACGTTCACGACGGGGTCAAACTGGCGAGCATATTCCACCAACCAGGTACAACTCTAAGACACTCCTCCGGTGTAATCACTAGCACTTCATGTGGAATCTTCAGATATTCGGCCACTGTTCTAGCACTTTCAAGATCCGGCGAGTCTTCGAAACCGACCGAAAAGGCAATTGGTTTCTGAAAGAACATATTGTTGAGACGAATGGCAAAGGCAGCCTAAGAGATCAAGTCGTGACGCGCGCAGAAAACAACAGAGGTATTTCTGAATGTGCAAGTCACTCCACCCTCCCCTCTTCCTTTCGCATACTCGCTGACTTACGACAGTAATTTTGTGCTTCTGTAGAAGCGTAATACCAACGCAACATATCCCAAGAAAAAGAACCTTACGCTAAGAGAACCGTTCATACAGCTTCTACAGATGCGGGTGGCCATTGACCCATCCACATCCGTACAAGCTGTAGGATGTTGTAAGTTCTGGAGAAGGCCTTTAATTCGCTAATTTTACCTTAGCAAGAAACTTGGTTGCGATAGAGGCTATCAGAGAAGAGTCGAGTCCACCGGATAGCATGAAGCCGAACTGGCGATTTCCCATCAAACGTTTCTCAACGGACTTCACAAGGACATCTCTTATGAGCGTCTAAATCACCCACTTTTTTTGACAATCACCTGCAGCATGGGATTTCGAAGGTCATGTATTCTAAATGTATATAATGGTAAACTTTTTTGTCATCCAAATCTCACCTTGGCGTTTGGGATCTAAAGGAATCTAATCCGGGCGAAATGCCAGGGGAAGACGAGATCGTGCGTAAAAGGACAATCAGAAGAACAGTCAGAGAAAACGGCAAGGTTAATTGCGTTTCCGGCGGCAAGTAGACTTTCTAGAACCTAAACTAAGCCACTCGTTACTTATGCGTCTTCGCGAACGGCTCGAGAGGAATGTCGAGGTGAGAAACGCATGTCACGCTCCGTGTAACCGGTACAACAAATCGATAGAGAATTAACTTATGTGATAATGATGCTGAACACTCGATAGCAAGAATAGTGTTGGAAACGGGCAAGCTCTGGCCGGTCTTAAAAAAGCACTAAAGTAATGAACCGCTGCTGCGAACGACGAGAAATAGCCACAGAAAGCATGCCGGAAATCTTTTGAATTACGAACAAGATGTGGAACTGAACAGGACAGTGCCAGAGGAAAGGGAAGTTCTGCCAAGAGCACAGCCTTATCACGTATCTGCCGCGACGTATCCGGTCATCCCTAGATATAGCCGCAAATAGGCGAAACTGTGGACTAACATCATCGGTGGATTGCGGGCGGGCTTCCTGTGGAGCAACACCTGACACAGGATGCAATGCGGTGCGAGTATGGTGTTCTCACGGGCCTAAACCTAATCGATCTTCGATGCGAGTTTATACGAATAAACTCTCTAATGCAAGCTACAGGGAGAGCGAGAAGGGTTAGGGGGTACAAGGTTATTCCCTACTCAGGGAACGGCCATGTGGTCACTATACACCGGCGATAGATAAACCGCTCCGGTCTGTCAAATTGCGCAGGGCCCAATGAAATACCTAATCGGTGGGAATTGGAACTACTTTTAAGTCTGTGTGCAACGATAGCGCTGGTTGGGACGCCGTTCTTGCGATGGGTGTCACTCTCGCGCGAAGGGTATGACCGTACTATGGAAGGCATTTTGTCAGGCATTTTGCCAGCTTCATTGGCTACGTACCACACCGTTACAAATGCGGTCCAGACGTGTGACGAACGCCGTCGAACGAGCACTTCCATATCCATGGCACCGAGACGGGCTTCGGCTTCTTTGCTCGCAAGCCAGCACACAAATTCGAATAGTAGCACAGAACTGTATCAACTGTGTCCAGCTTCTCTCTTCATAAAACCTCCGCATTATGGTGAACTTTCAAAATGTAATGTATTCTGCCAAAGAGGTTGGTAGGTGGAAGACTTTATTGAAATTGGCCTGACGTTTCGACGGGATCGTCGTCCTCAGAGGCCAGTCCACCACCACATGAGTGGAACGATACCACTCCTGTTAGTTGTAGTTAGTAAACTGTATCATATATCAACTTATATCAAGTGTATGTAAGAATGTGTATGTTGTCAATTAAGCAGAGGGCTCACAAGAATTACAGAATTATCTACGGGATTCGCCAAAAGGTTGTGGTCCCGTTAACGCTTGAAATGTTAGCTTTCATAAATTCT